AAGCTGTTATCGACGTGAGAGAATTTTGAATAAAAACATTAAAGACTTATTTAATAACTGAACAACACAAAAACTATTACCTTTAATGATACAAAATTAGAAATTTTTAATTAGAAAAAAAACTTTCTCAGAACTGATATGATTTTATTCTATGTCTGACATGAGGAATGATAAAGAAAGCAACAGAAATTTGAATTATGTACTCGTATCATTTTTAAGAAAACACAAACTTGATTATGTAATTGTGTCGTTTCAAAAATATTTTATCTCAGCTTAAAGAAATTGATTTAACTTCAGATTTCGCATGATGATGTAATTCTTTCTTAAATCAACTCAATTCTAAAACTTTAGATTTGTGAAGCGATCAAAAATAGAATTATTTTCACCAATTGGACAGTTCTTGTAATGTAACTGACTATAATGTTTCATTCATATTACAACAATCTTTTTTAACGTAAACGTAATATCACTTTAAATTAGGAAAACAAAAATACTTAGATATACCTAAATTAACAAAAGTAAATGCATCTACTAAAATGTTGAATTATTAGTGATGACACTAGACCTGTCATATGTGTGGTGAAAAGTTAAATCGTTTAATATCAAGATCCATACATTATAGCTTTTACATTTAAAAAAGTACATATATACATTTAAAAATCAGTTTTTAATTACTTTCTGTCTGTCTTTATAATACATTGTTTGGAGCCATTATATATTTGGCGCCATTATATGTCGCAACGACGCTAAATGTCACACTTGCCTCCAAATGTTGCGCTTTTGCCACTAAATGTCGCAAACGCCGCTAATTGTCTCAAAATATTTTGCATTTTATGTCGCTGATGACGTTAAATGTCGCACTACCGTTAATAGTTGCAATATCTTAATTCATGTTTGATAACTATAATGACGCAAAATACCCTGAAAGTGGCCACGTTTTGACAAAAACTCACTCTTTTATTATTTTTTTATTCGTATCGTACCTTTATTCAAAATTTAGGCTTAAAGCTTTTATTCACTTGCAGTTATAGGACAATCACTCGACAATTTGTTTTCTATGTGTGTCAGCAAGCCATATCTACGGTGGCACAAATATACGGTGGCACAAATGTGACATGTGTGTGTTTTTATTTATCTTGTGGCCACGAGATACTATGTCGTGGGCACGGATTACTAAGACGTGGTTACGAGTAACTAAGTCGTGGACACGAGATAGCAAAGTCGTGGCAACGAGATACAATATCGTGGCCGCTAGTAACTATGTCGTGGCCACGAGTTACTTAGTCGTGGCCACGAGAAACTATGTTGTAGCCACGAGTTACTAAGTCGTTGCCACGAGATATCTAAGTCGTGGCCACGAGATACTATGTCGTGGCCACGAGTTACTAAGTCGTGGGAACGGGATAGCTAAGTCGTGGCCACGAGATAACTACCCAATCAGAATACACTATATATATTATGAATTTTTTAAACTTAACAACTTACTTGTACATGCAACATTAATCTTCGAAAATACTGAAGATATTCACTTAGAAGTTGTCTTTAGTTTCATATTAGAAAATCACCTTCCAAGGCCTATCAGACATTTATTTTGACTATAGCTCTTTGATGGACAATTTTGCGACCGAATTGGTCAGTTTGTAGTTACTATGGCCTCTTAACCTTATTTATACGATAACATGAGAAGGAATAAGTCCTGGTTTATTTTATTTGGAAGGGAAATTGCCCATGGACAGTAGAGATCCTATAAGGTAAAATCTTTGACTGTTAAATAATTAAGAAGGGATAAGCCATGGTTTATATAACCCAGAAATATCATTGCACCTGATCAGTAGATGACATCTAATAATTTGGGGGTCAGTGGGTCCAAAATCAGGGTCATGGTGACGCTAAATGTAAAATTATTGACCAGTCAATAAGTAGTATAAATGGCACTTTTACAGGCTGGTGAAGTAGGGGCATCCTTGTAATATAGCACATGTCTAGTCAATTATGGAAATTCATGTAAAAGATGTAATCTGATTGGTAATTTATCTCGTGGCCACGACATAGTATCTCATGGCCACGACTTAGCTATATCGTGGCCGCGACTTAGTAACTCGTGGCCACGACTTAGCTATCTCGTGGACACGACTAAGTATCTCGTGGCCACGACTTAGCCATCTCGTTGCCACGAGTTAGTAACTCGTGGCCACGACATAGTATCTCGTTGCCACGAGATAAATAAAAACACACACATGTTATTCACTAGTGAGGTGTTTCTCTATACTTTTTCATGTAAAATGGCATTGGAATGATGGCCATCGTTTTTTTTAAATTACATTTACTCTGTGTCATTAAAAAGTGTTTCTTCGATGTACCTCTCGCATTGATAATTTTTCCCTCTTGAGGAAATATAACATATGAATGTTTCAAGGCATGACACCTGTACAAAATAAATTGATAAAATTTTGAATGAGCTTAGATTAAAAGCAGTTGTCTAAATATGACAACTGTTTACAGCACCTTCATGATGGAGGAACTGTTACACGAAAGATGGAGTTCTTATGATAACTTGTTTGGAATTCTTATGAAAACTGTCACGGAGTTCCTGGAAAACTTTTCTATATACTTGGAGAACTCACGTGTGAAAAATGGTCATTTTTACCTTTAAATGGGGAGTTTGGGGAGCTAAATCAAACTTTGATAATTGAGCTTGACCTACATACTGTTTTATGTTTTAGAAAAACCCTTTAGTCCTTTTTTCATCGCTTTTTTATAAAAAGATCTGGTAGTTTTGTGTAAACTGTCCAAATTACTTGCTGACGTTTTCATTTGTGATCTTCTTCGTTGCTGTACTTAATTAACTAATTATAATGGAGAGTTGCAAACATAAATCCCAGGCTAATAAATTTATACCCGATTTTTCAAATGACACGGTGTTTTTGTGATAACTCAAAATATGTCCTTGAGTTCTTATGTTTTCCACAGAAATCCGTTACGTTTTCCAGGAACTCCGTGACAGTTATCATAAGAACTCCAAAGAAGTTATCATAAGAACGCCATCCTTCGTGTAACAGCTCCTCCCCCGTGACCTTTACATTGTTAGAACCAAATGCATTTACCAGTATAGAGATACATGTTAGACAAGCTGCACATCGGTGCAGCTTAAACCGACTGTGTTATTATGGCTTACTAACTTAGAAATTTGTACCTTGATATTCCAAGATCGGTAGACATTTCTTAACATATGGAAGTTTGAAAAGTACATTTTACCCATTCAGCAGGTAAGGCTTGCAAATACGTACGGTCTTACCGTTGTCAGAGTTGCCGGCTGCTAAAATTTGAACTATTTTTGTTTTTTGCAGTTCATTACATTACCTTTACTATTACAAGTAGGATAAGTAGAATATACAAATTAAATGCGTACTTTGACATTTATGCCCCCAGGTTAGTATTATATATCCCCCATATTTTTTGCTTATAAAACGTTTTTAAAACGTCCATATTTTGCAAAATTAAATAATTACATAGTCTGAAAAGTAGAAAAAATCTCAAACTCAAAATTTTCCAATAAATTAAATATGATCTTTCTAAAATTTCATTGCGAACTTAAAAGGACGAAGACTGATCCTCATTTGGTTTGTATTACTATTGTTGTAAATAAACTAATTCAAGGTAAAACAGTGAAAATGGCCTCCTTTTCAATAAGAAAATGTCAATGGTTTTAATATAAGAAAATTCAAAAATGCACAAGAAGACTGAGATTCTATTCGCATTGGTTGGAGGTAGAAAGCGGGATATATTTTAATGTGTCACCACTTACTCGTATTTGTAAATTTGTAACATGGGTTTTGAGACCGAGTTTCATTTCGTTTTTATGCATCCAGTTATTAGCAATAAAATGTTTTACACAACAAATTAGATATTCTAATGACTTCAAATTATGATGTTTGACTATTGGTCTTCCCCTGATATGAATCCGTGTTGACTAATCCAGGTATCATGGAAAGCACGCACCCCAATATTTTCATGTTTTGTTTGGGTGTACAGTCACATTTTTTGTTATACGGCGATATTACCGGCTTTTTGTCATTCAGTGACTTACATATGTCACTTTGATATAGTGAATGCGGCATTTTAGAGAAACATAGTTATGGAGGGCTGTAGGGATGTAAGAGCAGGGGGCCACCTTCCGCCAGGTTGGTGCGGCGCTCGGTGTACCCTACACCGTCATCACCTTAGCCTGAGAGCAATACCGGCTATATGGCACACCCGCCAGGAGGCATGCTGGAGGTCGGTAAAGGGTCACAACATCAGCTCAGGATCGATTTTTGGTCGTTAAGGCACATCGTGCAAGGTTTTCGTCTGCAATTACTCTTCAAAATGACCTCGTTTATGCTGCGGGGTCCTTGTTTCTACGCGGACGGTATGTAGAAGGCTGCATAATTGTAATTTGCGGTCGAGGACCTTGCATACGTATCCCCTTGATGCGTCGACAACGCCATTCGTCCTTCAGTAAATCAGCATTTAAAACCTTTCGCACGGCGTTAATAAAAATTATCCCAAAAATTATTTACACTCAAATATATGGCGATTAGCAAAAGTTGAGTAGTATATATACAACAGTTATGCATTGATTTATCCCTGAAATATAATGATTCTTTTCTCCTAGGATATAGTTAGTTTATGAAACAAATCTCTTTAATAATTTGTACTGAAAAAAATCGTTTTCCTTCTTTCGTATTGGCCATTAACACTTATGATTAACATAACATGTTTTTATGCTGAATAGATTATCGTTAGAAAACAAAATTTCGTAAGAAATATAATATTTACATAAAATATTTTAAAATATAAATATTTAAGATTAATTTAGATGGAAACCATAAGCTTCTGGCTGCCTATTTATAAAGCCAACACGTGTTCGTTTATCTTATCTGTTGATAAAATCATTAAATTGGAGATTAACCATTGCTTGTCTGTTTCTGGATTTTTCTTCAAAAGAATGAGCTGTTGTTTCATACGTTTTGGAATCAATTGGTATTAAACAAGAAAACAATTTATATGTGAGATTCAAAGTGGTATTGAAAATATCAGACATGGATAAGATCTATCATTTGTGCTCGGTTTTGACATTTTTTATTTTATGTTTGAAACTATCTTCTGCTGTAGAGACCAAGTTGACCATGGAGTTTATTTTTGATGTTTTGTCGCGTCGCTTGGATAACTTAGCGTTTGAAATACAGTTAGTATTTTCCGTCATTTTAGCTTTTGTTGTGCCATGTATATTTTTATGTTATTTTCAAAATGTTTTCTGCTGTGGAGATCAAATTGACCATGGAATATTTTTTCGATTCCTTTAGGTATTTCCCGTCGTAATAGCTTTGGTTGTTGCATACATGTATATATCTTTTATTTTATGTTTAATATTGCCTTTTGCGATGGAAACCAAATTGACCGCCATTACATTATTTTGTTATTTTTGTCACGTCGCTTTGGTAACTTAAAATACAGTCAGTATGTCCCGTCAGTATAGCTTTTATTTTTAAATGTGAACAATAACAAAATCAACGACAAAAAGTCAAATCATATTTAATTAAAAAGTTTTGTTTATATAAAGTGCTTTCAGAATGGATTCTCAAAAGCGTATGGAAGATATGGATACTAAGATAAAAGACAATATACCACTACGAAAACCTGTATCCTCTGAAATCCAAGGGCAAATACAAAGACAAATCAAGCAAGAAATGGAGAAACATATCAATGTTTTTCATAGAATGTTATCAGCCGAGAAGAAAGCCATGCACGATATGAGGGAGCTATTCAGTAACCAGTGGAAAAACGTCAGTCTCATTGAACATCGAATTCCTTCAATCAACAAATCATGTGCAGATTTAAGAACGGATTTTGATGGTTTTGAAGACGCTATCAAGACTAAAGTAGGCGATTTAAATATGAAACTAGGTACGATTCGTATGATATTCAATCCAAAGGTACATTAATATTCGAATGAAAGTACACATTTAAGCAAGACAATTTTCGACTTTAATTTGTTGAAGTTTCTGTACAAACATTTTAATGGTTCCAATTTTCTATATAATAATCAGGAATATTGTCTATACTTACAACTATACCTATCTTCTAATAAAATCAAGGCGTCATAATTAACTTTCTCGTCGGTTTTCCTTTTTTGTGCGTAGTATACAAAATATTTAAAAGTTTACTTTGAGCAATGCTGTCGGTTTGGCATTTTCTCAAAAATGAAAAAAAGTCGGAATAGTATGTATTTATACATATTTGATTGGTATTCAAAGATTTGAAAGTAGTTTTGACATAATCTTATTTTGGCTTCACTCCGATTTTGTTGATTTTATATTATTATTATGTTTTCTAATTCTAGCAAGACTGATATATTTTAATAAAATATAGGTCTATACTTCTTTTCCTTAATTAAATGAATTAATAGTAAAATGTATACACGTATATCTATTTTTTTAAAGTACATGTAACTGGAATTGATGAGTTTTTCTTGCTTAAATTTAAACTGTAGACGTACACAAATAGTTTTTTTATTTCAGATACCATGAGGAAATATAACACCAAAGGTGAGAAAGGTGAACCAGGTCAGAGTGGTTCAGATAGATATGCAGGCATAAGAGGACCACGAGTAAGACAGCTTCAATATAAGAATATTTTAAACAATATTTCATATCAAAGATAAGACCAAGCTTAACTTGCACGACCAAAGTCGAACAGTTTTTAAATGTTTTTTGTACAGTTTTCAAGTAGTATTTATTGTTTCTTAGATTCTGTCTTTACCAATATTTGCAAAATTATGGCATGCTTATGTAATTCTGTAATGTTTTTAGCTGAACACACACTTGTGCAAATATAACTCAAATGATTGTAAAATAGGTAACAAGCGAGGTTTTACGCAAGCGTAAACTTATATTTTTGAAACAATGTCCGCAAAATACTTTTCAAATCATCTCAAAGAAAAATGCAAAACTTTAAAAGATCATGTTTTTCAAAACAAACTTGTTTTTAAGGGTCAACAAAAGGATATTTTGAAAACAGTTCTCTTTTAGGAGGAGACAACATGTTTACGCATGATTTAATTTTAGCCTGGTTCACGATATTATAACTCGGTATAACCTGGCATTGAACAGTAAGTTTTTGTTCGGAAATAATAAACATTGTCATTCTCGTTCGAAAAAATGGAAATAGATAATATTATGCAATAAAGACAGAATCCTTAAAATTGGTATGAAATAAACCTGGGAATGCGATATTTATATTATATACTTGGTTTCATTTGACGACTTTTAAAATAAATCATGTATTACGCAGTAAATCATTTTTTAAAATTATAAGATTTGGATTCTTGGCCTAGCTCATTATGAACAAAAAAAAAAACAAAAAAAAAAACAAAAAATTTTCAGGCAATACCGGCAGAGATGGGGTACTGGGCGCCAGGTATTGGGGGAAAGCCTGGTCTAAAAGGGCCGACGGGCAATACGGCGAAGCGATATAGGAAAATTTGTTGAATAGCTTCGTTACAAAATATTTTAAAACATGTTAAAGATAATACTTTGGCTTAATAACAGGACAAAAATCTAAATTATCTGTTTTTAAAATATTAATTAAACGTTTCATTTAGTATTTATTTTTCAAAATCTCATTTTTCAAAGGTTCTAAATATAGCATCTATATAAATTTACATTTAAAGGTGAATAAAATTTGTACAACAATAATAAAAAAAAAGAAAATGAAATTACTATGGAAAATTAATTTGCAGGGTGAACCTGGAGAATGGGCTTCCAGGTTTTGATGACAAAGGGGATACAGGGAAAGGGTGATAAAGGGGATAAAGGTTTACCGCACAAACTCCAAGACTGTAATTTATTTGTCAAATATAAAAATAAACTTTTCTTATTCTATTTTAAAGTATAAAGAGTTCGATATTTTTTTATAAAATACCTCATTAAGTTTGTGTTTAAAAATCAATTTTGGAGGCTAGTTTCAGATACTTAAATGAACCAATCTTTCTATATATCCGACTAACAAAAGAAAAATAAAGCTTTTAATTTTAATAATATCTTATTATTTTTTAATAATTTAAAACTTTTACTCCTCTTAAATGTCTCAAACAAATATTGTGATAAGTCCTGAATACTAGTGCAAGTTATCTAATGCCAAATTGTTATCATTTAGCTGTGTTAACCTGAAAGTCGGTTGTTTTTATTTTTTGTATACTGACCTTAATTTGCAATTTTTAGGCTATAATGAAATGTGTATTTAAATAGAACTAATTTAAAACAGAACATGTTTTACGAAAACATCATTAATTGTAAAAAACGTATTTTAAAAAAAAATGTTTGAATCAATTATATTGCACATAAAGTTTATAGTTTTAAAATGCTTCTTAAGCACAATACTGGGAAAAAATCAATTTTCCTTTTATAAGGGGAAAAAATAAATGCCTTTCGCCCTTTCCTTTGATATCCCTTTTGGTTTTCAGACCCGGGGGTTCCCGAAAAATCCCCGGTTTTAAAGGGAGAACGTGGAAAAAAGGGGTTTCAAGTAAGATTTCTTCCCTTTTCCAAATATGTTTTAAAAAATATCTCCAAATTTAAAAAAAAAACAAAAAACTTAACTTCCCCGTAAATATCTAAAAACTGCTTTCAAAAATTTTTATTTTATACAGGGTTTTTAATTTATTTTTAATTGTTTTTAGAGATCCCCGGGGGATTTTAAAATTTGCCTTTAAAATAAACAAAGTTTTATAAAAATAAAAATATTTTTAGATATTTAAAACTAAATCTTATAAAAGCGCTATTTAAATTTTTTTAAACCAAAACTTTGGGAACAAAAACATATTCAAAATCATCTCAAAAGAAAAAATACAAAACTTTAAAGATAAAATGTTCTTCAAAAAGAAACTTTGTTTCCTAATTTCTAATGTCAACAAATATTGATTTTTTGAAAAAATTCAGGGGTTTTATGACAGCAATGTAAATAAGCTCTAACACCGATTCGTTTTGTTCAAATGCGAAAACAGTGGTACGCATGATTTAATTCTAGCCTGGTTCTACGATACAAAATATCGGTAAACTACAGACAGTTTCACAGTCCATATTTGTATATCGTAATAAGAAAATATTGTCTTTCGATTTGAAGAAAAATGGAAAAAAGATTGTTTTTTCAACGAAAAGCCAGAAATAAAAAAAATAAAAATTGGTCATGAAGTGTAAACCTGACGTATGCGAATGTTTTTTATGTACTCTGTGCTTTAACTGACGACTTGCAAAATAAATCGTGTCATTCATGCAGTAAAATTTTCGTCTTTTTAAAAAAAGTAACTGGGTGCTTTAATCCCAAAAATGAAAATTAAAAAATTTGCAGGTTTACCCCGGGTTTTGATGGGGTTTAACAGGGTCTCCATTTTAAAGGGGAAAAAGGGGGCCTTTTAAAGGGGGAGGGAATTTCAGGTTTTGAAAAAGGGTAAAGGGCAAAGAGAATTTTGGGGAGTACCTTCGTTACCAAAATATTTTAAACAAAATTTTTTTTAAAAAAAATTTTTTTTTTTTTTGCAGGACCAATAATTTTAATAAAAGTTTCTAAATGAAAAAATTTTAAATTTTTTATGTTTTATTTTCAAAAAATTCCCCTGTTTCAAACCAAATTAAAGGGAAAAAAAAACCCCTTTCAAGGGGTTTCCTGACTTACTGGGTTTTGGGGGCTTTCAAGGTTTTAAAAAGAGCCTCTTTAAAGGGCCCAAATGGCCCAAACAGGGCCGTTGGGGGGTTTAAAGGCAAAAGAATGGGGGTTTTCCGGGGAATAAAGCTTGTTACCAAACTTTTTTAAAAAAAATCTTTTTAAAAATAATACTTGCTTTAAATTTTTTGACCCAAAAACTAAAAACTGTTTTAAATAAAAATTAATTTACAATTTTATTTAGTAAACTATTTTTTCATAAAATTATTTTTAAAAAATTTTTTAAATTTTAGCAAAGCTTTTGGAAAAATTTTTCATTTAAAGGTAAAAACATTTTTCAAAATTAAATGATTATTATGGAAAAAAATTTGGGAAAGGTTTAACTGGCCCGGGGAAAGGCTTTTTAGGTTTGATTTACCAAAAAAGAAAACAGGGCCAAAAGGGGGAAAAGGGGGGAAGGTTTACCGCACACTGTAATTTTTTTAAAATTTAAAGCTTAACCAACTTTCCTTTTTGATTTAAAGGAAAAAAAATAACATATATTTTTCTAATTTAAAGCATACTTATCCCCCAATTTGTTCTTCAAAACATTCGGAGCTAGTTTTAAAATACTTTAAAAACCCCATTCAATTTACCGGGATTTTGAATTTCGAAAAAATAAACTTTTAATTTTTGAATAATTTAAATTTTTTGAAATTCTTTAAAAAAGATTGGGGTTTTTTACATAAAACTAATTTAAAACAGAAAAGTTTAACCCAAAACTTTTTTATTTTTTAAAAACGAAAATTCTTTTTAAATTTTTTTAAAATTTAAATTATTTGCAAAATAATGTTTATAATTTCACATCTTTTTGTTAATTTCATAATAACCCCCAACATCCATTATCTAAAATTTAAGGGGAAAAAAATTTCATTGCAGCCCCTTTTCTGGGAATATCGTGTTTTGGGGAAACCCCGGGTTCCAGAACTCCCGGGGGTAAAGGAAAAAGGGGAAAAAAGGATTCAAAAAGATAGCTTCATTTTTAAATAAAAGTTTAAAATATTATTTTAAAAAAAGACAAAGCTAATTGCACATAAATAAACCAAAAAACTGCTTTCAAAAAATTAAATTTTAAAATTTTTATTAAATATTTAATTTTTTCAAAGAGCCCTGTTTTTAAAATCCCCAAAATTTCTAATAAAATACAAAACCTTGATAAATAATATATTTATAATTAATTTAAACACTAAGTCTTATAAAAGGGGGCTATTTAATTTTTGAAACCAGAACTTTGTAAGCACAGCACTATTCAAATCATCTCAAAAGAAAAATACAATTGTCTTCAAAACAAACTTGTGGAGAAACAGGAATGCCAGTATTTATTTTTTCTAAGATTCTGTCTTTTTCAATATTTACAAAACTATGGCATGCTTATATAATTCTGTAATGTTTTTAGCTGAACACACACTTGTGCAAACATAACTCAAATGATTGTAAAATAGGTAACAAGCGAGGTTTTACGCAAGCGTAAACTTATATTTTTGAAACAATGTCCGCAAAATACTTTTCAAATCATCTCAAATAAAAATACAAAACTTTAAAAAATATTTTTTTTTTTTCAAAACAAACTTGTTTCCTAGTTTCTTAAGAGTCAACAAATGGATATTTTGTAAACAGTTCTCCTTTAGGCTAGAGAACGTGTTTACGCATGATTTAATTGTAGCCTCTTTCCACGATATTAAATCTCGGTAAACTACAGACAGTTGCACAGTCGATTTTCTTTAATACGAAAAAAAGAAACATTGTCATTCCATTCGAAGAAAATGGAAATATGAATATTTTGCTATAAAGACAGAAATTTAAAATTTGTCATGAAGAGTAAACCTGGTGTATGCGATGTTTTTACGTAGTTGTGTTTTATTTGACGACCTTCAAAATAAATCATGTCATTCCGCAGAAAATCATGCGTCTTATAAAAAAACTATATAAGATTTGGATTCTTGGCAGCCTATTAATGAAACAAAAACAAAAACAACAAAAAAGCAACAGAAAACAAACTATTTTTCAGGGCATACCTGGCAGAGATGGGTCACCTGGGCTTCCAGGTATTGAGGGAAAGCCTGGTCTAAAAGGGCCGAAGGGCGACTGAACAGGATTAGATGTGAGATAGCTTCGTTACAAAAATATTTTTAACACCAATGTTAAAGATAATACTTGGCTTAACTAACAGGACAAAAATCTAATTACTGTTTTTAAATGATGTAATTAAACAGTTTTCATTTAGTATTTATTGTTTCAAAGACTCCATGTTTACAAACGTTTGCTGAAATATAGCATGCTATGATAAATATTTAGCATTTATAGATGAATAAATATTTGTACAAACATTTTTTGAAAAATAAAATGAATTACTATGAAAACAAATTTCCAGGGTCTACCTGGGATTCAAGGTCGAAAGGGCGATACAGGACCGAAGGGTGATAAAGGGGATGAAGGTTCACCGCACACTGTAAGTGTTTTGTCAAATATAAAGCTTAACTAGACTTGCCTATGTTGATTTCAAGAATAAGGAATAACGATATATATTTCTATTAACGCATACTTATCACAATTTGTGCTTCAAATCAGTTCGGAGCTAGTTTACAGATACTTAAAATGCCACCATTCATTTACCGTGTATTCGAATTACGAAAGAAATAAGCTTTTAATGTTTGAATAATAACTTTTTGAAATTCTTAAAACATAGATATGTGTTTTTACATAGAACTAATTTAAAACAGAAAATGTTTAACGAAAACGTTATTAATTGTTAAAAACGTATTCTTATAAATTGTTTTGATCAATTATATTTGCACATAAGTGTTGATAGTTTCACATGCTTTCGTTAATGCATAATACGGCACAACATCCATTATCTATATAAGGTGTAAAAAATGATTGCATTGCAGCCCTTGTCTGGTAGATATCGTGTAGTTGGCAGACCCGGTGTTCCAGGAACTCCCGGTATAAAGGGAGAACGTGGAGAAAGAGGATTGCAAGTAAGATAGCTTCATTTTCGAAATATGTTTAACAATATCTCATTTCAAACAAAAGACAAAGCTTAACTTGCACGATAAATATCTAAGAACTGCTTTCAAATTATATTTTATACAGTTTTCATTGAGTATTAATTGTTTCAAAGAGTCCGTGTTTATCAACATTTGCTAAAATATAGCATGCCTTGATAACAATATGATATTTATAGATGAATAAGCACTAAGTCTTATAAAAGGCGGCTATTTAATTTTTGAAACCAGAACTTTGTAAGCACAGCACTATTCAAATCATCTCAAAAGAAAAATACAATTGTCTTCAAAACAAACTTGTGGAGAAACAGGAATGCCTGTATTTATTTTTTTCTAAGATTCTGTCTTTTTCAATATTTACAAAACTATGGCATGCTTATATAATTCTGTAATGTTTTTAGCTGAACACACACTTGTGCAAACATAACTCAAATGATTGTAAAATAGGTGACAAGCGAGGTTTTACGCAAGCGTAAACTTATATTTTTGAAACAATGTCCGCAAAATACTTTTCAAATCATCTCAAATAAAAATACAAAACTTTAAAAAATATTTTTTTTTTTCAAAACAAACTTGTTTCCTAGTTTCTTAAGAGTCAACAAATGGATATTTTGAAAACAGTTCTCCTTTAGGAGGAGACAACGTGTTTACGCATGATTTAATTTTAGCCTGGTTCCACGATATTAAATCTCGGTATAACCTACAGGCAGTTGAACAGTAGAGTTTTTGTATCCGAAAATAAGAAACATTGTCATTCCGTTCGAAGAAAATGGAAATAGAAATATTATGCAATAAAGACAGAAATTTAAAATTGGTCATGAAGAGTAAACCTGGTGAATGCGATATTTTTATATACTTGAGTTTCATTTGACGACTTTTAAAATAAATCATGTCATTACGCAGTAAATCATGTGTCTTATAAAAAACCATATAAGATTTGGATTCTTGGCAGACCTATTAATGAAACAAAACAAAAACAAAAAAAAAAACAACAGAAAACAAACTATTTTTCAGGGCATACCTGGCAGAGATGGGTTACGTGGGCTTCCAGGTATTGAGGAAAGCCTGGTCTAAAGGGCCGAAGGCGTAACAGGATTAGATGTGAGATAGCTTCGTTACAAAAATATTTTTTAACACCAATGTTAAAGATAATACTTGGCTTTACTTGCAGAACAAAAATCTAGTAACTTTTTGTAAATGATATAATTTTACAGTTTTCATTTAGTATTTATTGTTTCAAAGACTCCATGTTTACAAACGTTTGCTGAAATATAGCATGCTATGATAAATATTTAGCATTTATAGATGAATAAATATTTGTACAAACATTTTTTGAAAAATAAAATGAATTACTATGAAAACAAATTTCCAGGGTCTACCTGGGATTCAGGTCGAAAGGGCGATACAGGACCGAAGGGTGATAAAGGGATTAAGGTTCACCGCACACTGTAAGTGTTTTGTCAAATATAAAGCTTAACTAGACTTGCCTATGTTGATTTCAAGAATAAGGAATAACGATATATTTCTATTAACACATACTTATCACGATTTGTACTTAAAATCAGTTTGGAGCTAGTTAATAATGACAGTTTACAGTAACGAATCATTTACCGTGTTATCAAATTACAAAAGAACTATTAAGCTTTTGTTATTGTTAAAAATATACTGCATCTTATTTTTGAAAAAAATATTGTGAAAAGTCCTAAATGCTTGTGCAAGTTATCTAATGCCAAATTGAATAATTAAGCTGTGTTAACCTTAAATTTTTAATTTATTTTTGTATATTGACCTTTATTTGCAATGTTTAAGTGGTATTTATTGACATGTGGTATAAAATAGAATTTAACAGAAAACATCATTTATAGTAAAAAAAAATATATTTCTGTTTTAATTGTTTTAATCTATTATAGAAAAGGACAGCGCGGAGAAAGAGGACCAAAGGAAGACAAAGGAGATAAAGGTTCGTCAGAATCAAACGGAGAAATGTTCGGACGATAAGGAAATCTTTACTGAATAACCCCAAGGAGAAACTAGTAACACTTAAAAGATTTTAGCTATTTCGTATAGTATTATATTTAAATATATGCATTATAATGGTAGAGAGATACAAACAATAGACAACAAAATATAAACATCATAGTCATCACGGCGTATTGTGTGGTTTGCATTTAGTGCTCATCAATAATGTCATAGAGTAAAATTTATCCCAAAAAGGGCCCGTTTTTGAAAAAAAAATAAAAACAACCATGGGGTTTTTTCGTACAAATACTCAAAATTTAAAATTTGCAAAATTTTTAACGGGAAACCCAACGAGTGTTAAAAACGGGTTTTTTAAAAACGGGGTTTCGTTTTTCTGTTCAATTTAAAGAATAGTTTCGTTTTTAACAAAAAAGAATCGTTGAAAGGGAAAAATTAGTATTGTCAACACTTTTAGTTAGACACAGTTACAAAGTAACTCTTAACCCTTATTATGCTGGAGCCGAAAGGGATTGACATTCGTTAACATAATAAAGTCAGGCCAGCCTGCAGTCTCTATACTGTTGACTGACTAAATTTTCATCTTGATATCTTGATAAGATTTTAACTAAAGAATTATAGGCTAGGCATTTTAGCCAAAGATAAGACCCAACCTCAAACAAATTCCTTCAGAAAAGATATTTGCATATTTGTTATCTACTATATATGTGTTGCTACAGGAAAAAAGTCCTCAAAAAAATTCGAAGTATAAAATGCTAAAAATGTCATGTTTTGAAATCATGTGTTTTCAATTAGAATAATCTGTGAAATTAAATATTCCAGATATTCTACGTAAATATGGTAATTAACAAAGTAACATATTAATACACAAACATGCTTTATTTAATCCAAACGTTTCAACCAATGTTGATTACATTCAAAAAGTCGCAACACTGCATAATCTATACATCATCATTTAGACTGGTATAAAACATTACCCCACCCACTAATGATAAATATTTGTTTTTACTTTAAGTCAGATTCCATTAAATATTCTTACAAATTAGCTCTACCAAGATTAATGTTGTATGAATCTATCTAAATTCATATTATAATTCAAAATTGCAATACATTTTACACAAATGATTATTATAATTATTATTTATATACATTGTATTTGCATTTCTGTTCTGAAAATCAATCCTTCAAATTAATATCTTACCAATGCTAAATTGCACTTACTTTACCATGGAAGTGTTGTAAAAAAAATTATTGTAAAAAGACATTTTAAAATAAAATGAATCTTGAACTGAATGTTAAGACACTGAAAAAAAAAACACAATGTTATTTCATCATTTTTGTCACCAAGGCCCGACTATCCATATAGTCTGACAACGCTACACATGTATATATACATATTGCCCTGCCCTTGTTCAATGCTGAAATTATATCTCGACTTTTTCGGCCGGTGCTGTTGAAACCTTTAGCCTGCCCTTTTCACAGAGACACATTGTTTCGCATCTGTAAAATTGTTACAACTTAATATGATAAATAACAATGTGAACTTTGCATTCTGCTTTTAAAATAAAATAATTTTATGTCTAACTAAAAATGTAGGTACATGTACTATGAAAAGCAAGATAGAATTGTGCTTTTAGATTTATATTTTTATATTGAATTATCTACAAATAATTCATAAATTAATGAGGCACGTTTAGCCTCAGCAAAACATGCCTCAGCTTTCTTCTTTAGAAAATATGTTTCATGTTATGTTGTTGCGTGTAAATTGCCCATCGGCTGAAAGAAGCACTGACTGTGAAACATCATAATGTGCCATATAAGCAAAACGGCACCTATACTTTCATACAGATAACTAAATTGGAAGTTTTGGTCGAGTGTTTAAGGTCACTGACTTCAAAACACTTGCTTCTTACGGTGTTAACGATGTAGGTTTGAGTCCTGTCTGGGTTTTGGAATCTATTATCTGACATAGCTATCCCAAACTAGCTTTATACGCGCTAAAAATAATACCTATGTCACACTTTTTCCTTCACCAGTAAAGCTTGAAAGTTATTATATGACCTGTAAAGTGTTGATGTGACATAAAAACCAACAAACAAATCTCTGATCTTAGTAATTCCGAGAATGTAAGAAAACTGCAGTTTTGGACACTAAAAATAAAACACTTTTAAAAGAAAACCATTTAACTTTTACAAATGTGAATTCCCTTTAGAAAAGTTATATATGTAGTAGCACACAAAATTGAATCTGGTACACCAACTGTGTATTAAAAATATAGAGGGGTTTTCTTTGATTTACCTGTTAATGGCTTTTCAAAAATGCTGGGTCTTTTCAAACAGAACCCATTTAGCCTCTCCTAACTTGGAAATATGGAAAGCTCTTGGCACATCAATCAACGGATTGATTTATGTTTGCCAAAATATAAAAGGCTGGACTCTCGCTAAATATTGTCTTCTGCAATCAACCATCCCATACTATGTTTAGCCCTTCCTCTGAAAATAAGATATATAAGTCCATAAAACATTATCAAAAAGATATTAAAAAAAAATAGTATTGAAATGATATAGTAGGAAAACGCCTGAGAAAATTTGGTATGAGCAAATCTTTTGTATGTGCATTTATTATAATCATGCTGTAAAACAATGATGTAAATTTGTGTTGATATATCAATTTCTGCTGTATTAACAAACCTGAAAGACACCCAATTGTTTTGTTTTCATTCATTCAATAAGATATATCTACGTAAAAAGCCATTTTTCTCTCACATCCCATTACCCCTTGTGTAGAAGTCACGTGTCTATCCATCTTCTAACTAATTATACAACAACTGTTCTATAAATGCTGACAATAACATGGAAAACATTACTTAAAATATACATACAACTGGCACTGGTATCGTGAGGGTAGATTATCAAGCTACACATTTTATTTAAAAAAAAAAACAATTGAAGAAAATTTAATATGTTATAATAAGAATAAAATGGTTTTGGGTCGGAAAAGATATGATTAAAATCTATATCAAATGCAATTTTGAAGTCTGGTCTGTTAACACCTCATTTTAATTTTCTCTTTGAATATGTAATCTTAGTATTTAAGTAAATTTTGTGTTTTAAAACCATTTTGATAAGTGAAATCTATTGCATTTTGACATTAGATTATTAGACTTATCCAAATTGTCTAGAATGATAGAATAAAAATAGTTAAAACATAAGATATAAAACTGTGTAAAGAACAGAACAGAACAGAATTTTATTTTGGATTTGTACATAGTGCATCATCACTACAATATAAATACACAAATTGTAAAGATGTCAAGTTTTTCTATTTAACAAATAATATAGGATTTTATATATATTATTTGAATTTCATGTAAAGCTAGAGAATTGAACAATAATGATTTAGGAGAATATTATTAACACTTTAATATAAAACAATTTTGTTACGCAGAGTATATAACAAATCAATTGAATTTTTAGTATAAATTTGTAAAAAAATTTCAAAATTCAGTTGTTAGTACTAAACAATAATGTTCCTGATTTTAATCGATTCTCTCAAATATTTAGCTAGATTAGTGAGTATAATTTTATTATTAGATTATAGAAGAAATCAGTCCAATATTTACACATTGACAGAAAATTTGTAATAATATCGTTTCACATGTTTTTTTTTCCTTATGTCAACATAGCATGGCATATCAAAACAAAATGGTATTCATCTTCTTACAACATAAACAATACATTTCACTCCTTGGGATTCTATTCTGACCATATAACCCGTTTGTACTCTTAGTGTATGTGTGCAGACATTCTAATTCTTGTGATGTAAAATCTAAGATCCTTTGGTAATATGTTAAGATAGTTTTCGTATGAATATAATTCTTTACAATTTTTATAAAGTTCTAAAACAGAATTATTTTCTACAGATGAATGCCATATTTGTATATAATTATCAATAACTCTTTGTTTAAATATTTTTGGAAATAATTTACTATCTACGATATTATTTTCAAAAAAAAATTCGGATAAACCATATATATACTAGCATTTTTTTAACATTTGATACCCAGTTTTTTACCTTTTTAACAGTCAGATAAACTTAATTCATATGTTTTCCGTAAAATAATATTATCAGTACTTATCAATTTGCACCAAAACTTAATTATTCTTACGTTTCGATTATATACAATGGGTAACGGCCGAGTTCGCCGTATATACGAACATTGCTTGTATTGGCTCTAACATTTAAAATTCTTTTACAATACTTCAAGTGAATATGCTCAATTATCTTTTGATTTGCTATAACCCCATACTCTCAGATGCATATGATATGATTGAACCTACAAAACAATCAAATAATTGGCATAATAATTTGGGTTTTAAATCCATGTCTTCTGTTAAGAAGTAAAAGTAATGTATAAAGTTTCAGTAACAGCTTCCTCATTAATAGGTAATAGTTTTAGCTTGATTACACCCTATTGGATACGCTGTCTATTTTTCATATAACATGCTGGGATATTATCATTTCGCTTAGAAATGCATTATGTATTACAAGATACGTTTGTTTACATCAAGTTATCATATTATTTGATTTAATTATGATTTCCACAATTCATAAAACATGCCAACTCTTTGAAATAAGTCAAATTCAACATTTTAAAAAATATCCCTAGATTTTCGTGATTTTAGTCACAACACGCTTCCGTAGAGAAGAAAAATTTACATAACTTGTGCATGCACATTTTTTTAAATACTCATTAAGATGTGTGGTTAATTCTGTGTCCTTTTAGATAATTGTACAAAAGAAATCAATATTGAACAGTGAGTAAAAGATAAACTCTCTTTTAATGATTACTTCATTCAAAATTGTGTTTAAAATCGCGAAATTATATGACACATTTTGTCATCTGCATAATCGATTGATTGGTGGTCAATTAAATCTATCTACTGACATATTTTTCCCTAAAATTTTATACAGTTTCAGTTTCAAGTTTCAAGTTTATTGGCAAATCGACAATGAACATTGTCTTTGGCCATTTACACACATACATTATATGGCAAAGACATTTAACAGCAATATAACTATAAACATGTTTACATTTTACACTGATATAATCAAACAAATGTACAGAAAAATACAAGTTAATAATCAATCAATTTTATACTTAAGAGACAATGATTTAAGAATTCGTTAAGAAGCCGTGAGAAATTCTAAATAATTGTTTCGGCATTT